CAGTTGTCTATGCAAAATACTTCGGATTCGTTGGCCAGACACCATCAGCAACAACGTACTTTGGGAGAGAACAAACCAGATTCCAGCGGAGTTGAATATCAGGAAGAATAACTGGAAACGGATAGGACACACTCTGTGGAAAGCACCTAACTGTGTCACAAGACAAACATTCACATGGAACCCTCAATGTCGAAGGAAAAGAGAAAGGCCAAGGAACACATTACTTCGAGAAATGGACACAGACATCAGAAGAATGAACAAACATTGAACAGAACTGGAAAGGTAAGCCCAGGACAGAGTTGGTTGGCGAAAACTGGTTGGCGGCCTATTATTTCCCTGATTTGATCTTATCTCACTGTCACCGTGTTTAATAAAAATCTACAATGATCACTATGATTGTCGTTATCATCATGTTGAAAAAATTGAGTAATTATACAACTCCAGCTCACCGAAAACAGAACTTTTCTCTGAAGTAACCCTTTTCTGTTTATCTGTCTCAATGAGAATACCGAATAAGATATCTAAATTTGGCTAACGTTTTGTACCAAATTTTATACTTTCTTTTCATTAAAACCGAATCATATTTTATCTTTGAAAAAAAACGTACAATGAATACGTATACCTACATTCCTAATTGACACTGTTCTATAATAACTCTTCTCTGATCATCATATTTAGAACAGAACATCCTATGAATTTCGAAATTAGGTCACTAGTCTTAGTTTACAGCATCGAATCGCTTCTTATCTCGATAATCAAACTATATCCAAAAAAGATTAAAATAATCTTAGGCTTAACACAAGATGTGAAGGCCAAGGAACACATTCCGCCGAAAAATAGAGAAAGATATGAGAAGAATGAACAAAAATTGGACAGAACTGGAAATGGAAGCTCAGGACAGAGTTGGTTGGAGAAAACTGGTTGGCGGCCTATACTCCATTGGGGGTAACAAGCGAGAGTAAAGTAAGTACGTAAGTAAGTAAGTAAGTAGGCTTAGCACAGTACTACTCTAACAAAATATGAAGAGAGGAAGGCGAACACTGAGTGTTTCAACTTGAGGATATTTAATACTTTGTTTTGTCGATTTGTTGGTTTTCACTGGATGTCATATACACGTATACACAAATATGTCTATCCAGATACAATGTGGATCGAACAATCTTGATCTGACTGATTCTTTAATATCTTATCGTTGAGATGAGATTGTTTTGTTTCGACACAATGTCGATCCATTCTATCTGGTATTCACCCGCGTTCATCTAACAATTGATTCTTCTCTGTCCGTATATATCTGTGATCTTTTGAAAACTCTAAATTAGTATTCTCTTTGTGCATAAACAAAATGTATTGATAAGTCAGTGGCGGGTACATTCAACAACTAACAATGAGTTATTCAACATATTTCCTTATCGTTTGATCGACTTCTGTCATTTATGCCTCACATTTGTATACGCCTTTGTCAAGAGCACAACACACAATCACATGATCAAACAATTATTGTCAAACAATTTATGATAAATTATTTGACAACGATTTATCTGTGTTTTCAAATAGCCTATGTCTTAATATCAACTGAAAGATTGGAGATTCACATAGGGATCGATTTCTCTGCCTATTGAATTAGATCAATAAACCTAAAATAAATTTAGTCGATCGCAGCGTTGTAGAAAAATGCATGAATCCGGCATGTAGACATTCTGTTCAAATTCAACGGTTGTTTATGATATATGCTGCAACAGATGGAAAGTATTGCAGTGTCTAATAATCCAGTCTACTCCCAACCTTATCAGATATAATTCATAACTAGGAATAAAAAATGTAAGCAAAGAAACTAGAACTATTCATGCTTTTTATCTAAGTATATTAAATATATCCTGTCATTGGGGTAAATCAGTTACTATTTTTGATAGAATAAACCATGCAAGATCAGTTAATTTTCGATACTTGAAAGTGTTCGGGTACCGGTGTTTGGATCTTGTCACGCATGCACGTAAATTTGGTATGCTTGAACTATTACGAGTTTACCTTAGTCGAAAAACGAGAGCGAAGATCAAGAATCCGGCAACACGACATGCTACTGTAATCCGAGTGTCCCAACCCCCATTGAGTAAAAGAAGAAGACTTGATATGAAGTAGAACACGTATTCTACAAGCATCCAGAAAGTACAAGGTCCGAGTCCAGAATGGAATCAGGATCCCGGACTAGGGATCCTGGTCCGAGTCATGAAATGTTACAGATAATGCATATTTATACAGTTAGATCGAATAGGAACCAACATTGAAGTATGTGATATTGATAGTTAGGACGATCATAATATTGACCAGTAGGAATTAACCAATAGGAATTGACCAATAGAATTAGACTTACAAATAATTCTCTTAAGATATTGGATGAATATCCTAACAGATCTGAAGAATTTTTTTGGATAACAGTTTCAATTTTCTAATTGTTCAAGCATCAGTTTAGTTTAGTATTTGCATCGCTAAAATTTGTCCCTGTTCTTAGTGCTACATGATAGACTGAACAGTACTGCTTTTACTATTATGTGTCCGAGATAAATCTACTCATTGCATAACTTGTATTTTCTTTTTGAAGGCTTATTTTTGCCAAGAACACTTTTGGGCAAAGTTCTGGAGGTTTGTGTTTTTACAAATTTGAAATCATCACTCAATCATTGTTAGACCACCATTAGAGACCTCGAAGCACAGAAAGACGGCCGTTTCGTCCTGGTATGGGACTTATCAGTGGTAGGGCGCATCCATGACTCCTGCACCTCGCAGGATTCGAACACAGGACCTTCCGTATCGTGCGCGAACGCCTAACCATCGGACCACTGAGCCGGCATCAAACGGTGTTAATGTCTAACTTTGATCAATCTAGGGATTTTGCGGGACCTCACCCATTTGTCTTTGGTAGTTACTGCCTACACCCGACAGGGTTGAACTCCATTTTTAGCTGATGTGACTTGATGTTATGCGTTTGCTATCCGCTTGAAAGCTTCATATTTCCTGAACAAAAGGGTTCGTTATCAGTAGTCGGAATAGTAGCCTTACATTGTTCCTACCATTTTAACTACTGTGTCATACTATTTATTATATGATCCAACGGATGTTTGTAGTAAAAACTTTATAAACTTTACCCTAACATTCCTTAATATTGAATATACTTATCAGAAATAAAGTCTTGTCTAAATATCAAAAGATCTTTGCAAACTTCCATACCTCCAATGTTCAGTTCAATAGGATTACTAGCTATCATATTCATAATCTAATTGGTAAATGTGGCTTAATAGTATTATCTATCACCACTAACTTTTTGATATTTTAGTCTTTGATCTACCGATCTATTTTTCCGTCATTCTTAATCGGTCGTTTACTTTCTTTAGGTCACACGTATCAGTGTTTTCACGATAACCGAGATAAATGTTAAATTAATCTACTAACTAGAACCTTTATCAGACGCCATCAGTGACAACCTACTGTAGGATAGAAAAAACCAGATTCCAGTGGAGGAAGAAATCAGCAAGGAGCACTGGAAGTGGATAGGACTCACAATGATGATAGCATCCAACTGCACCGCAAGGCAAACCCTAACTTGAAACCCTCAAGGCAGAAGGAAAAGAGGAAGGCCAAGGAACACATTACGCCGAGAAATAGAGAAAGATATGTGAAGAATGAACAAAAATCGGACAGAATTGGAAAGGGAAGCCCAGGACAGTGTTGTTCGGAGAAAACTTACTTACTCACTTACTTACTTACTTACATACTTACTTACTTACTTATGCACTTACTTACTTACTTACCTACTTAATTGCTTGCTTACTTACTTACTTACTTATGCACTTACTTACTTACTTACTTACTTACTTACTTACTTACTTACTTACTTATGCACTTACTTAGTTACTTACTAATACACTTACTTAATTACTTACTTATGCACTTACTTACATACTTACTTACTTACCTACTTACTTGCTTGCTTACTTACTTACTTGCTTGCTTGCTTACTTACTTACTTACTTATACACTTACTTCCTTACTTACTTACTTACTTACTTACTTACTTACTTACTTACTTACTTACTTACTTATACACTTAATTAATTACTTATGCACTTACTTACTTACTTACTTGTACACTTACTTAATTACTTACTTAAACTTTATAAATTATCTATTTCAAAAATATTTGGAACCTGATCGAGATGAGTTCCATTTGTTTCTTCGAATCATGATAACAAATACCTCGTATACTGTCTATTATGTTTTCATATTTCCGAAATTCTTACATATAAAACAAATACTCTTTTCTTTTTTAGTGAGTATTACTCATTAATCAATAAAAGATAAACCGTATCTACTTCACCATTATCTTCTAGAATGTTCAATTATGGTGTCATCATGATCATACAGTGATCTTCATCAAAGAAGCGAAAACTTAGTCGTCTATGAAAGACAGTCTGAAATGGAACAAATAAAAAGAAACAACAACTGTTCGACTGTTCAATATTAATAAGAAATTATTATGATTATTATTATTATATTGACCGAAATGATACGATAGAGACATCATAATCTACTAAGAAAATTAAAACAACAACAACATCTGATTACTGAAAAGAAAACTAGGTCGATTATTGTTGTTAGAACTTTGCATTTTCTTTTAAACAATGTAATTAAAAGTTTGATTCCTACATTCTTTGACGAATCAATAGCGCGCGCGCGCGAGAAAGAGAGAGATTTAGTCAAACAAATAGAGTTGGTTAGGTTATTTGGCATAGTGGTTATACTTTGTAGAAAACACCTATCTGAAAACATTCTTTTCATCAGGATAATTAATATAAATATTGTAGAGTAGAATAATTTTGAATACAACAGACAGACAAGACGAATAAATAAATCAATCCGCATTTTGATCATCATCAGTAAGAAAGAGTAGAGTAGCAAAATTAAAACTATCTCGAACTCTCAAACTCTCGAACAGAAGAATCCAAAGAATGAATAATTTGAAACTGGATATCAAATCGCCAAGAGAGCGACTGTTGGAAGAAATACGCAAACGTCGACCAATTGAACCAGACTCGGATGTTGAAAGTATTAATGTATCACAAAATAACCCAGTGGCACAACAACAAAATAAATCTCATTCATTATGGAAATATATTTTGATTTCAATATCAGTTATTATATGTGTTGTGTGTTTTTTTCTAATCACTGGAATTATTGTTTATATGAGTAGTTGGTCAAAATCTACTACCACTACTACACCTATATTGAATTTCACATCTCTCAATTCAAGTGTAGGCTATTGGGTCGATGTGTTTGCTTTCAAAGATTCGGATGGCGATACAATTGGGGATTTAAATGGTAATCTCATTCATTCTCTTATCATTTTTTATAGGTTTATCATCTGAAGTTGATTATATTAAAAGTGTAATTCGTTCAGGATTCGTGATACTAAGTCCTATTACTAAAGGATTCTATACTAATTCTCACAATATGATTGGATTAGTTGAAGATTATGTAAAGCTGGATGAAGCTATTGGTTCAATGAATAATTTTCAACATCTTTTAAAAATATTTCATGAAAAAGATTTGCGAGTTATTTTAACATTCGATTTCAATTCAATATCTATCGATCATAAATGGATTAAAGAAAACCGGGTCAAATTACAAATGTTCAAAGATGGCGCAGATCATAAAGTAACTCTTGTTTATATTTTCCGTATTATATTTTATTTTTTTATGATGAAGATATCAAGATATGGAAAACCATTGAATGTTGATATTCAAGGTCAATTGTATTATTCCGTATTCGGACCACCAACTGTAGACTTAAATTTAACTGATCATCAAACGCAGAAAGTGATATTTGTAAGTTTTTCTTTCACTTCCTTCATACTACAATCTATCGGATTTATATAATTTAATCGATAGGATGTCATTCGTTATTGGATAGGAATAGGAATTGATGGCATCCTATTAGACAATGCTGCATATTTCATTGAACAAGGAAAGTCAAATAAAGGACAAAAGAAGGTAATATTTTACTTAAGCTCATATAAGTAATATTTATTTTCCTCTATAACAGCAACAGTTTTCTTGTCCACAAAGAGAAGAAATGTATACACATGGAAATGTAGAGTTCGTCAGAAGAATTAAACACGAGATCAATAAATCGATGAAATCAACTGGGAGAGAAATGTGAGTTACTTTTTTATTTTTTGGGGGGGCAGAGTTTTTGAAGGTTTGTGTTTTTACACACATTTGAAATCATCAATCAATCAATCATTGTTAGATGACCACACTATTAGAAACCTGGAAGCACTGAAAGACGGTCGTTTCTTCCTGGCATAGGACTACTCATCAGTGGCAGTGAGCATCCACGACTCCTGCACCCCGCAGGATTACGAACCCGAGACCTTCGGTATTGTAGGCGAACGCCTAACCATCGGACCATTGGGCCATCATCTAACGGTGTTAATGTCTACCTTGATCAATTTACTGAGTTGCGCAACCTCATACACAGTCTTCGGTAGTAGTTACTGTCTACACCCGAACAGGTTGAACTTCACTGGTCACGTCTTCCCACTAGAACTCGGAGAAGATTCCTCACGAAGCTAGTCACTAGTGAGCACAAGTAATTTGCATTACGGGGTTGTTGTGAAGATTGTTAAGTTTTATTTGCAACATGTTTCATCATTAAAGTGGAGCTAGCAAACAAATTGTCATGCTTGAATGCTATTACGAGTTCATCTTAGTCGACAAACCAGAGTGAAAACAAATGATCCAGTGACACGATAGGCAATTCTAATCTGAGCGTTTCAAGGGCTCACTAAGTAGAGGAAGAAGTCTTGATAAGACATAGAAAAGTGTATTCTACAAGCACCCAGAAAATATAAGGTCGAAAAGCACACATGATAGGAACGTCCTTGTGAGAGCCACTAATACCAGTCAAGGACGTTCCGGGTGGGAAATGTAACCTCAAGGTCAGCTGATCAGCTCATGCGTGAAAGCATAGAATCCAAAATTAGGACCTTTATTAAACTGAGTTCTGAGAATCTAACGTCCCCAACACAAATGGACAACAACGCAAGAACTACAGGCGCTGAGATTAAAGCAGAACTGCCTAATTGAATGATTTGAATAATTTTTTTCGTGTGTTTCATTTATGTACTGATAGCCTAAAATACTTATTGTAACAAATAAGAAATATTTTAATGACTATAGCTGATAACCTATTTTATTTTAGATAATATTTATTGAATTTTTATCCTCTATAGATTGTTAGGTGTATACGCTGGAAATACATGGTGTGATTTGACTGGTCGACCTGATCCAATGTTGATGTTTCGTAATGTGGCCGATTTCATCATTATCCGTGAATTTCTTCCTAACAGAGGTTGTAAAGAAACGTTTCCTCCTTCAAAAAAACTAACCTGCAAATATCAGAGTTATCCAAATGCTGTAAAAAATAAATTAGGCTTAACTGTATCTACTACAAGTTTTCCTCCTATGAAAGATGTACTGACTCTAGCTGCCTCATTATTATTACCAGGTAAGTCATTACCATTGCGAAATTGGCCTTTTTCTTATATTAAACTCAATAGCAGTCTGAACTCTGACAGTCGTTGCCTAATATCTTCCAGTTTTGAGGTAGAGAGTTAGCTGCTTGTTGAGAAACCGTATGCTGTTACTTTCTTTTTACCGCCTCATCACTCAAAAACGATATGAAGCAGTCAAAATGTCCTGAAACAGGCACTTGGCACAGATATGCTTCTACCCTAAATTTCCAAACAGCATAATCCGACGACGTTTCCAAGAGTGGTGGCTGACGTGGGCTAGTGCTGGTTGTTGCCTTGCGTGGCAGCACCGGAGGTTCGACTGAGTTTGCTTTGAGTTTTCCAGTAATCACCTCCATCATCATTAATTGTAACACGTGTAAACAGCAGTCACTGAAGGGCGAATAGGATCTAAAATCACAACACACAAGGTTAGTTTAACACCTCACACCAAGAGAGAAGAACACGAAGTGGTAGCCACAGCACTCTTATATTTGAAAATTAAAATACGCGGGGTTTGGACAGAAAATGGGTGGCTAGTTTATCAAAGTCAGAGCACGCAGGGCGCTTGTTCTTCCAAAGCGTTTGATGTTTGATCGCCCTGAAATAGAAAGAAGACAGAACAGATTAGCAACATCATACATGGTGATTTTGACTCCGTTACAGCTCATACAGCTCATCTACATATGATCAGATGGAACAAACGGTACTTCAGCGAAGATTTCATGCCTACTTTATATGTATACATGGTTGACAGTGATTAGAGAGTTTTTAGTTCACATTTAGTAAAAATGTGATTATCGTTCTATTGTTAGATGGAATAAAAGTAAGTTTATTATTATTCAACATTGAAATCACGCGCTACAATTTGAATACATCAGTATATCAAATTGAATACAATGAAACATTGTTTTGGGGTAATTATATCATACTCGAATTGTGTTCTCTGGATAGGATAGTTTTACTGTCCAACATTATCAGCATAATCTTCTGATGTTATTAAGGATATTGAAATTTCTTCATAAGTGATTAACAAACTAGAATCTTATGAGCTGTGATCGATAAGTTTCGTGTCATTTTCAACATGTTTATTTTAACTATCTTCCAGTTAATTTCCAAAATTGTGTCTATCTCATTCTGTCTGTTGATTAATACATATTACTCTTGTGAGTAGCTTCTAAGATTCTATCATCTAGTTTGTGTTCTTTCCATGTTATATGCTCTTCAACTGATATGCTTGAATAGCTATTACGAGTTCGCCTTATTCGGTAAACGAACTGAAGCAATGACTCAGTGACACGATAGGTTATTCTAATCCGTCATCTTAGCCCCAGCTAACTAAAGCGAGAAGTCTAGATAAGGCGTAGAGAATGCATTCTACAAGCACCCAGAAAATACGAGGTCGACAAGGACACAAATCGAGCTTATTTATTCAATGACAGCAACATCCCTGGGAGAGCCACAAAATAGAGTACTAAAATAATACATCAATCAATGATAGTCAAGGCTTTTCCAAGTGGAAAATGTAAGCTGGAGGTCGACTAAGCGACTTATGCGCGAAAATGTGAAAAAATCCAAAATAAGAACACTTTCCATGTGAGTTCTGGAGATCCAGCATCCCCAACACTATGTCGTAATTATAAGTCATTCTTGTTGAATGTATGTCAGCAATTGTCTGCATCCGTTGATATAAACGAAAGTACATTAGGACATTTGCAGGCTGATTGTTCAAGCCACCGACAATGTACGTAGCTGACAGTGAAATCGATGTCTAACTCATCTCTATTCTCAAAAGATAAGACAACTGATAGCATTTGTAATCCGAAAGTACTGATTTTCACATTGTCTGTTTGTGTTACTCGTTATTGAAGAATGAGATAATGGAAGTGAATGTCAATGGAGAAGCAATCTGTCATTATTTTCGGGCAGAGTTTTGGAGGTTTGTGTTTTTACACATTTGAAATCATCAGTCAATCATTGTTAGACCACCATTAGAAACCTGAAAGCACTGGACCGACGTTTCGTCCTGGTATGGGACTCATCAGTGGCACTGCGCGTCCAAAACTCCTACACCTCGCAGGATTCGAACCCAGGACCTTCGGTATAGTGCGCGAACGCCTAACCATCGGACCACGATCTCACTCATTTTTCTTTGGTAGTTACTGCCTACACCCGACAGGGTTGGACTCCGTTGGTTACGTCTTCTCAACTAGAACTCGGAGAATTTCCTCACGAAGCTAGTCACTAGTGAGCACTGGTACGATATTTTCGGGCAAAGATTTGGAGGTTTGTGTTTTTACACATTTGAAATCATCAATCAAATCATATTCATATTCAGATAATAGATCAGTAGTAGGTGTAACAAGTGTTGTATGTATCAAACTCCTTTACAATCATTTTAGACTACTGACAAAATGAATAGTTAGTGAAAGTGAAAAAAATTAACACAAAAGTATTCTTTCCTTGTAGTAATAGATTTCAAAAATTCATATACTCTATCAATGAAGAATATTTCAAGAAAAGTCAAACAGTATTGATTGACAAGATTCATCGATCGATATTGATTGACTGTAACTGCAAGCAATAATACGGAGGAATTCTAAAAGGCATCATCATCTGTACACCTTCTACATTATTTCAATCAAGATAATAAATATTTTAATAATTGTGTTGAGTTGTGGTTAGATCAAACTTTAATGATTATAGTTGAGTTTTGACGTTTAGCTCTTAGCTCCTCTATTGATTGAAAGAAACTATTCTGACAAAACAAACTATTCACAGTGGTGTGTACATTATAACAAATAGGTTTATAAGGAAATATTTACTTTTGTTAACTAGTACTAATTATAATTTGTTTTACTCTTACTACTGTTTACCTTCAACAGGAATACCGATTATTTATTATGGTACTGAACTTGGTATGACTAGTTTAGTTAGACGACGTCGTCCGGAACATTTATATCCAAAAGGTAAAACTTATCTAAATGATGATTCTTCCGATTATGACGCAATACTATCGCATCAACCAATGCCATGGGATAAAACTGGAAAGAGATTTTCAAAAGCTATAAAAGATGCCAGCTTCAAAGATTACACAGATAAATTTATCAAAAGTGAACTTGTCGAAGTAAGTGCCCCCTGACAAACTTTTATGCATTGTTATATTTTCAATTTTGTATCTGTAATAAATTACTGACAATGGTTGTATTATAATGGTTTTTTTATAATGTAAAAATTCATTGAACTCATGAATCAATTAATGTTAGACCATCATTAGAAATCTGGAAGCACTGGACGGCCGTTTCACCATGGAATGGGACTCATCAGTGGCAGTGCGCATCCACAACTCCTGCACCTTGTGGGATTCGATCCCAGGACCTTAGCACTTGCGCGCGAACGCCTAACCCCTGGACCACTGAGCCGATATCTAACGGTGTTAGATGACTAACTTCGATCAATTCACGGTCTCACACAACCTCATACACTGTCTTCGGTAGTTACTGTCTACACCTGAACAAGTAGAACTTTACTGGTCATGACTTCTCACTAGAACCAAGATAGAAAGGTTGGTTGTGAATTCTTTCATATTTTTTTATTGTTCATAGGTACGCTTTTGTTGTTCCCTTTAAAAAAAAATCCAACATACTACCGATTGACTAGGTATCGACCTTTGTCGATTAGAAAGCAATCTCACAACGGACTAATTCGTGTTGAAGTTTGTCATTTAGAAAAATCTAGAAAACCAAATTGAATGAGCTTGATCACTAAACATTTACACATATACAAAACAGTCAAACTATCTGATTAGAAATTGCATAAACTGATAATTCAGTTTTATTTGTGATAAGTCTGCTAACTGAAAGCTCGATTCAATTTTCGAACTGCTCGGGCTAAATCTACACGACAACTTGAATACAAATGGTTCAAAAAACAAAGTAAAAATATTCTCCAAGGTTAAGGCATGTACAGCAAGTTGTTCATATTTATATTACTTAAAAAAGCTTTGATCATCTAGAAAACTCTGAGAGCATACTTATTTTAACAGTCAGTCAGTTGCAACGTAGAACTTTGTACGTATGTACATAAGTTCATGTTGTCATACTACATTAGCACAGAGAGACACAAATGTCAAATCAAATCCCATAGTGATAGAGATAGTAGAAGTATTAATGGTAATGAAGAAGAGTAGGGTTTGAAGATATTATTTAAGAAGTATAATTCAGTGAGATAAGATTAGAAAAACAAAGGCAAAGGTGCTGAAGAATCCAGAAGATTAGGATTTGAGAGAGCACAACGAATGGATGCACTTGCGCCGTTGCAAACGATTCTGAGCCCTAAAAAAATTTCACACCTCACCCCTACCTCACGGATTTCCGTCTCCGGCGGTAAGGCTGCCCACTGATTGCTTTTAAGAGCGGAGCTTATTTTAACAGTGAGATAATTATTATCCCGACAAAACTGTGACATATGTGATCCGTCATCCTTTAAGATGTTTTCAAGAAACTTTTATTCAATTCTGATAGAATAAAATGTTTTCAAACGTTTTCTGAACCTGTACCTAACTTTCATAAAGGGTAATTTAAGAACTACTTATCAGTTTACAACAGATTCACATAGGAAACAATTTCTTTGATCAATCTTAGAAATCTAATATCATTCTATAATTCAACACAGATTATGAAAGATTTCACATAATTCATGCATTCTATATTTCTCAATCGACTGACAATTTAGCAGGATTACATTTAACTGATGTGTTCCACTAAGTTAGCTACTTAATTTGTACTAAAAAAACACATTTACGATTTCATGTACAGTTAATCATTGAAACCATGAATCGATCAATGTTAGACTACCACCATTAGAAACCTCGAAGCACTGGACGGCCGTTTCATCCTGATATGGGACTCGTCAGTGGCAGTGCGCATCCACGACTCCTGCACCCCGCAGGATTCGAACCCAGGACCCTTGGTATTGTAGGCGAACGCCTAACCATCAGACCACTGAGCCGGTGTCCAACTGGATAAATCCGATGGTTAGGCATTCGCCTACAATACCGAAGGTCTTGGGTTCGAATCCTGCGGGGTGCAGGAGTCATGGATGCGCACTGTCACTGGTGAGTAGTCCCATACCAGGATGAAACGACCGTCCAGTGCTTCCAGGTTTCTAATGGTGGTAGTCTGACATATTGATCAATCCATGGTTTCAGCAAAACTTAACAATCTTCACAACATCGTAATACATAGTTAACCAACATTTTCATTTCATAGAATGTAACTAGGAAGCAATCTGAACGAACAGTTTACGCTCTTGTTCAAAAACTGATGGATTTACGTCAACTTCCAACTTTCAAATGGGGAACAATGGAGGAATTGAACACTTTCAATGATGTAAGTTGCTTTTGTGTTTGTTTGTTTGTTTGTTTCCAGATTTCGAATTAAAATATTAAACCATTTCAAGAAATTTTCTATATGTGTGTGTGTGTGTTAAATTTAACTACTTTCAACTTAGTGTTTTTTATTGAATAAACACTTAGGCACAGAGATTGTTTTTAACGATAAAATTCTGTAAACTATTGTCACAACTGTAATAACATCATACTGAGAAAACTGAGGCAGGCGAGGAAGATTGTATTATGCAAATTTACACTCTGAGTCAATTAAAAACGAAAAAAATTACATTGAACACTCTATTTGCACACCATCTTTGAGTCGTGACTTCCGACTCTCCATCCTTCTTCCTTTACTTCCTGTTGGTACTCCATTTACTTCTTGCTTTTGCTCCATTTACTTTCCGTTTTCCTCTTCTGACTGTGAGACTTCTTCTTTCACGTCCCTTCTTATACTACTTATATCGTTCGTATAAGTAGCACACACCACAATACTACTACTAACTCAGGTCTCAAATGGCCGGGAAAAAAAATGAAAATTTCGGTATTGCGGAAAAAAATCATTACCCAGCATGAGACAAAGAGTAATAAGAGTGTTTGAGCCCATTCGCATCAAGCTGGGCTACATCTATTGCTAAACCTATGCCATACTATGTTTATACTATATACTATACTGCTATATAGAGCTGAACGTTTCCTATGAGATCAGAGGTTCGCTATGAACATTGTGGATGGTTCGGCATTGCTTTGGAAAGTATTAGTAACAGTTCATTTACTGGTGGTTGTTTTACAATATTTTCGAGGGGTGCTGTATTTCTGTATATCACCATTGCTAAAAATACTGTGTTTGACAATCATGTAAGCGGGATGGGTCGAATTGGCATGTTCATTCGGTGCATATTGATTGACGCGATCATCGATCAGAAATAATCACTATATATGTACTGATGTACATAAATGGTGTGAATGGTCCACCAGAATGTCAGGTACCGCCTGTATGGTTGCACCATACAATTCAACCAAACTGTTCAACTTGAAATGTACAGTCTCCTTGATTCTCCTGAACACCAAATGTAAAACTACCCTTGCCAATAGACGGTTAATTTTTACATAATAAACTGTATTATATCGATTTTTAAATGTGACTGTACAAATCTATTGCAGCCGTTTTAAGTACGATAAAAATCATTGATAGTTTATAGTACTGGTTATACACTAGAAGATTTAATCAAACTGAATAATTAGACTATTAGACGGAAAATTCTTAAAGTAAGATATATATCTAAGTAATCGAACTGTAGTGATTTATCTAAGTGGATAGTTTAATTGAGAAATAACTATATTCTGTAGACAATACAACAAACATAATGATAACCACATGTACAAAGTACCCAGAGAAATAATCAATTATGTTGAGATGTGTTTAATTGAAAACAAAAATTAATTAGCATTACGGGGTT